AAAAAAAATTAAATTTTTTTTTTTTTTAAAAAAAAAACAAAAAAAAAAAATTTTTTTTTTTTTTTTGGGGGGGCTTTTCCCCCCTTTTTTTTAAAATTTTTCCCACCCTTTTTTTCCCCCTTTTTTTTTTGGGGAAAATTTTTTTTTTTAAAAAAAAAAAAAGGGGGGGGGTTTTTCCGCCTTTCCCAAAAAATTGGGGAAAAATTTTTTTCCCCCCTTTTTGGGGTTTTTTTAAATTTTCCCCAAAAAATTTTTTTTTTTTAAAAAAAACCCCCGAAAAAAAAGGGGGGTTTTTTTTTTTTCCCCCGGGTTTTTAAAAAAAAAAAAAAGGGGTTTTTGGTTAAAAAAATTAAAATTTTTTTTTTAAAAAAAATTTTTTTTTTTTTTTTAATTTTAAAAAACCCCCAAAAAAAAATTTTGGGGTTTTGTTAAAATTTTCCTTTTTAAAAAAAGGGGGGGGCCAAAAAAAAATTTTTTTTTTAAAAAAGGGGGGTTTTTAAAAAATTTCCCAAAAAAAAAATTTTTTTGGTTTTTTTTTTTTGCCCCCTTTTTTTTTTTAAAATTTAAAAAAATTTGGGAAAAATTTTTTTAAAAATTTTTTTAAACAATTTCCTAAATTTTTACCCCCCGGGGCCCCAAAAAGGAAACCCTTTTTTTTTGTCCCCCCCTTTAAATTTTTTGGCCCAAAATTTTAAAACCCCCGGGGCCCCCCAAAAAAAAAAAAAAAACCCCCCTTTTGGGGTTTTTTAAAAAAAAAAATTTAAAAAAAATTTTTTTTTAAAAATTTTTTAAATTTTTTTAAAAAAAAAAAAAAAATTTAAAAAAAATATTTTAAAAAATTTTTTTTTTTTTTTTTTTTTTTTTTTTTTAAATTTTTAAAAAAAATATTAAAAAACCCCCAAAAAAAACCCAAAACCAAACCCTTTAAAAAAAAAAAAAAAAAAATTTAAAAAAAAATTTTTTTTAAAAAATTTAAAAAAAAAAAAATTTAAAAAAACCCAAAAAAAAAAAAATTTTTTTAAAAAATTTTTTTTTAAAAAAAAATTTTAAAAAAATTTTTTTTTAAAAAAAATTTTTTTTAATTTTAATTTTTTTTTTTTAAAAAAAAAAAAAAAATTTTTTAAATTTTTAAAAAAATTTTTAATTTAAAACCCCTTTATTTAAAAATTTTAAAAAAAAAAAATTTTTAAAAAAATTTTTTCCCTTTTTTAAAAAAAAAATTTTTTATTATTTTAAAAAAAAATTTTTTTAAAAATTTTAAAAAAAAAAAATTTTTTTAAAAAAAAAAAAATATTTTTAAAATTTAAAATTTTTTTTAAAAAAAAAATTTTTTTTTTAATTTAAAAAAAATTTTTTTTAAAAAAATTTTAAAAATTTTAAAAAAAAAAAAAATTTTTTTTTTTTTTTATTAAAAAATTTTTTTTTAATTTAAAAATTTTTTTTTTTTTTTTAAAAAAAAAAAAATTTTTATTTTTAAAAAAAATTTTTTAAAATTTTTAATTTTTTTAAAAAAATTAATTTTTTATTTTAAAAAAATTTTTATTTTTTAATTTAAAAATTTTTTTTAAAATTTTTTTTCCCCCCCCCCGGGTTTATTTTTTAAAAAATTTTTTTTTTTAAAATTTTTTTAAAAAACCCCCAAAAAAATTTTAAAAAAAAAAACCCCAAAAAAAAAAAAGGAAATGTTTGGGGGGTTTTTTTTTTTTTTTGTTAAAAAAGGGGGGGGGGTTAAAAAGGGGGAAAGGAAAAAGGTTTTTTTGGGGGGGGGGCCCCCCCCCCCCCCAAAAAAAAAAATTTTTAAAAACCCCCCAAATTTTTGGGGGTTTTTTTTGGTTTTTCCCCCTTTTTTTTTTTAAAAAAAAAAAAAAAAAATTTAAAACCCCCAAAACCCCCCGGGGAAAAAAAAAATTTTAAAAAATCCCCGGGGGGCCAAAAAAAAAAAATTTTTTTTTTAAAAAAAAATTTTCAAAAAAAAAAAAATTTTTAAAATTTAAAAAAAAAAAATAATTTTAATTAAAATTTTAAATTTTTTTAAAATTTTTTTAAAAAAAAAAAAAATTTTTTTTTTCCCCAAAAAATTTTTTTTTTAAATTGGAAACCCCTTTTTTTAAAAAGGGAAAAAAAGGGGAAAATTTTTAAAAAATTTTTTTTTTAAAAAATTTTTTTTTTTGGGGTTTTTTTAAAATTTTTTTAAATTTTTTAAAAAAAATTTTTTTTTTTTAAATAAAAAAATTTTTTAAAAAAACCCAAAAAAAAAATTTTTAAAAAAACCAAAAAGTTTGGGGAAAAATTTTTTAATTTTAAAAATTTTTTGGGAAAATTTTTGGGGCCCCCCGGGGGGTTTTTTTTCCCCCAAAAAATTTTTTAATAATTTAAAAAAAAGAAAAATTTTTTCATTTTGTTAATATAAAAATTAATGATTTTGTACCAAAAGAACCTTAGGAAACTTACCTAACCTTATTATAACAAGCGAAATTAAGTTTCGCGTATCCAACTATATATATTTTATACAGGTTTACCTGGAGAGGATTTCGGGGGTCAACGCCCCCGCGGCTCGGTCTGAGACCAGGCCTCACGGTGGATTTAATAATAAACAAAACAATGAAATATATTTTTTTCCCTAGTCTCTTTAAAAATTTCCCATTAACCATTTCTAACAGTCAGGTCCTAAAATCATATACAGTCCACATTATTTTATAATTTACCATTATTGGTATTAATGTTTAGTATTGTAATTATTAATTTAATATTATGTCAAGCTTTTTTTGTGAGAGTGGTAGGAGGTGGGCATCGAGGGAGTAACAGTTTGGCGACCCACTGTGACAGTCCCACTTACTTCACCCAAATTACTTGCAGGAAATAATTCTGGTAATACCCTCTAAACCTCCTGCAGGTAATTTCCCACATTTAGGTTAATCTGGCCCAACCTCTTTTTGGTAGGTCTAAATTTAGTAAATTTTAACATCAATGAGTCATTAGGAAATTCTTGCCACTGGTCACGGTCGAGGGTGGAAAAAGCGAAGACCGGAGTGAAAGATTGAGAGTGCGTCGCCGGCGTCGCCTGAGTAATTGGTCGCCAGCAGACGGTAACCGTCACTCTCAGGACCCACACGAAAGTTCTGCAACACATCCACATTATTACATCATATATGAGAAATGCAACTGTCTGTAATATTGTACATGGGGACAGCTACAAGTGTTTGTAATATTGTACACAGCACAGCTACAAGTGCTTGTAATACTGTACACAGCACAGCTACAAGTGTTTGTAATGTATGGGACAGCTACAAGTGTTCGTAATATTGTACGGGACAGCTACAAGTGTTTGTAATATGTACATGGGACAGCTACAAGTGTTTGTAATATTGTACACGGACAGCTACAAGTTGTTTGTAATATTGTACACGGGACAGCTACAAGTGTTTGTAATATTGTACATGGGACAGCTACAAGAGTTTGTAATATTGTACACGGGACAGTTACAAGTGTTTGTAATATTGTACACGGGACGGCTACAAGTGTTTGTAATATTGTACACGGACAGCTACAAGTGTTTGTAATATTGTACACGGGACGGCTACAAGTGTTTGTAATATTGTACACGGACAGCTACAAGTGTTTGTAATATTGTACACGGACAGCTACAAGTGTTTGTAATATTGTACACGGGACAGCTACAAGTGTTTGTAATTCTGTCTTTGCAATACATGAAGTACTATACGGGACACTCCTGCTTGTATTGTTAGTGTATGTGTACTTGCTTTATTGTTAGTGTAGTGTACTTGCTTGTATTGTTATTGTAGTGTACCTGCTTGTATTGTTAGTGTAGTGTACTGCTGTATTGTAGTGTAGTGCACCTGCTTGTATTGTTAGTGTAATGTACCTGCTAGTGTTCTTAGTGTAGTGTACCTGCTTGTATTGTTAGTGTAGTGTACTTGCTTGTATTGTTATTATAGTGCACCTGCTTGTATTGTTATTTGTAGTTGTACCTGCTAGTGTTCTTAGTGTGTGTACTGCTTGTATTGTTGTGTAGTGTACTTGCTTGTATTGTTAGTGTAGTGTACCTGCTTGTATTGTTAGTGTAGTGTACCTGTTTGTATTGTTAGTGTAGTGTACCTGCTTATTTTGTTATGTATAGTGTACCTGCTTATATTGTTAGTGTAGTGTACCTGCTTGTATTGTTAGTGTAGTGTACCTGCTTGTATTGTTAGTGTAGTGTACCTGCTTATATTGTTAGTGTAGTGTACCTGCTTGTATTGTTAGCCTTAGTGCGTCTAAAAAAAAGTAAATACTATCAAGTGCTTGTATTAATACTCCTGATAATATCGCATTTTATTTCATATCACAAATGTTTGAACTGATGAAAAGTATTATTATTATTATTATTATTATTATTATTATTATTATATTAGTATTAGTATTTTTATTGTTATTGTCGAGAATGGATTAAGGATACAAGAAAAATCTTGATGCGTGACCTTGTAGTGAGCATAGAGGTGTCCCAGCTGGTAATCAAACATGTCGACCCGCAGCTCGTAGGAGGCGCTGTAGGTGAGCTGGTGGAGGGGTTCCAAGCCCAACCACATCTCCCCATCAAGGTTACCAAACCCATTCCGGTAGTCTGCCCAACCCTATCGAAGTCCTCCTGGATTCCTGAAGTTTCCTGGGTGTGGGTGTATTTAATTACGTGTTTGCTAGTGACAATTATTATTATTATTGAGAACCACTAAATCCGTAGGGGCCACACACAGCCTGGGAATGGGAGGTAATCAGGTTCATTTCATTGAATCGAGAGCCTTTCGCCAGCATCAAGGGCCTACCCCCCCCAAAGAGGAGGTCGAGTCAAGACTAACACGATATTAAAAACCTATAAATTTTTATTTCATGTCAAGATAGTGTTTTGTACTAAATAGCCTCCACAGTAAAGATGTTTAAATAGTTAGAACATGCCATTAACTCGTTCTAACTGGGCAATATAGGTTCCGTCTAGCTGGTAGGAACTACTTAGCAAGTAGGAACTGTTTTGAGAATGGCGTCGCTACCTAGTGGAAAAAAAATTATATAGCAAAAGCAGAAGTTTCACCTACATAAGGCTTTATCAGGTACTTAAAAAAGCTTCGTGTAGATGAAACTCGTAGTAATGAAGGTCAGTTTTGCTGTATGTGCCTTTTAGGCCCTGTCTAACAAGTAGGACTGGCGTAGAAACTAGAACCTGCAATAATGGTAGCATTACCGACAATATATTAGGTAAAAGGACACATGTGCAACTAATGTGACATCTTCCTCAAGAAATCGTAATAAACCCACCGTGGGTTCCGTCCCACCGTACCGTTGATTTTTATAATGTGACTTTTAGGCCCTGTCTAACAAGTAGGACTGGCGTAGAAAACTAGAACCTGCAATAATGGTAGCATTACCGACAATATATTAGGTTAAAAGGACACATGTGCAACTATGTGACATCTTCCTCAAGAAATCGTAATAACCCCACCGTGGGTTCCGTCCCCACCCGTACCGTTGATTTTTATAATGTGACTTTTTATTGTGGCAACGTTTCGTTCTGCAGGAGCTTTGGACAAGTCGTTACGATTTCACAAAGCTCCTGGAGTGCGAACACTGCTACAATAAAAACATCACATTAGTTGCACAAAGTAGGACCTGTCTAGAAAATAGAAAGGTCGTCAATGAAAAGCGAAGCCTACAGCAGTGTTCCTTTATTTTTTATTCATACTTTTTATATAAAGAACTTACTAAGACAAAGACGTGTGTTGTTACCTGCGTTGTATCGACGGTCCAGCCTCCTCCGTGGGTGCTCAGTCACAGTACACCAGGAAGGTGAAGGGGAACACTTGATACTTCCCGCTTCCCTGTACACATAAAAACATTGTGTCACATTTTCAACTGTGTAAAGTCTTGACTCCTGACACTGATCTATGCTAAAGGCGTTACACTAATAGACGTTCAAGACGAAACGGTTTAGGCTTAAACAGTAAAATAAGTGTAAGTAGGTTAAATTAGTATATGCTAAATTAGGTTAAATGTCCTGTGGCGCCTGTTGATAGCGTGATTGACCTGGCTGTTGTTGACACCACTAATCGGCTGACTTAAGGAACTTATCAAGCTACCTCCTGAAGATAATTGGAGGCCTTTTGGTAATGTCCCTTAGGTATGAAGGGAAGATGATGAAAAGTCTTGGTTCCTTTACACTCACTGCGATATTTATCTCCTTGTGTACTCATTACACTCCTACTTTTCCTTGTGAGTATTCTGCACTATCTGTCGAGCTTCTTGTTTTCGTAAGGAGTAATTTCAGTGTGTAGAGCTGGAACCAATCCCTCCAAAATTTTCCAGGTGTAAATTATATGTTTCTCGCCTGCGTTTCAGGGAGTACAGTTTAAGGGACTTCATGCGTTCCTAATAATTCAGATGCTTGACTAAATTTAGTTTAGGTTAAGTGAATTTAGAATATGTTTGGTTAGGGCTTTTTTTTTTTTTTTTTTTAGGTTTTTCAACCTCCAGGATTTTGAAGATGTCAATCTGCCTATTCATTGACCGTCAAATACTAATTAGCTATTATAGGAGTTATGGGGTTGGGGCAAATTTTGGACCGAGGTAGGATAACAGCGTTTATCCTCTAAAATGAACTGTTTAAGAAAATGAATGGTGTAAATAGCTTACCTTGACCCGGCTTGATGGAGCGTTAGAGCAGTCGTGAACTACAGGCGGGGGTGGCGGGGGAGTCTCATCTGCATCAAAATACACTATTATTATAATAATATTCCTGGGGAAAGGGGTCATACAAAGTCAGTGAAATGAGAGGAAATCAAGTTTGATTCAAGAAAGGGGTAGGCATCTTTAGGTCCTTGGATCAGAGCTTTTTATCAGCATCAAAGCGCCCTTCTTGAAATGCATCTGTGTATAAATCTCATGTTTGAAGATCTTTTAGGTTAAAAGAGGTTACTACACTGGGTGACATTAAAATAACCAAACACCCAATAAATAACTTAAAAGCACTACGGCCCTCACACGTTATTAAGAATCCATAGTTATTGCTATTTATTATAGCTTAAATTAATGTCCTGCGTTATTATTTCGTAGCCTCGTGCACATCGTCACGCTTGGTCTCCTTAATGCTGACCTCATCCTTACTTATATTTGCAGAGCTAAATCATTGTTTATGCTTAGAACTGAGTTCATCTTCCAAAGAGCGAGTTCAGTTGTGCAAGATTTTACATTTGATTGAGTTATTTAAAATATGTGAAGCGCTAAGTCTGTCATTCCAGCTCAAGAACGGTAGAGGCTCGATCCTCCGTCCTATAATCGCGAGACACGATGCTTACCTACCTGGTATATTTCCAGCAGATTTTTTTTACAGTCTGTGTTACCGATTTATACTGTACAGTCACTGAAGATAATTTGTCATTCCATAAATAACTCCTAAATTGAAAAAGGAACAAAAAAAAATATATTTTTTATGAAATAAAGACTGGATGACGTCCAAGTCTTATCAAGTTACTTGCTAATTGGTAACAGTCAAGGACAGACCGAAATATCCAGTAATTATTTCTAATAGGGAGGTTAGTTATGAATTGTTTGTAGTAACGGTATTGAAACTTGCCTTTTTTCTGTAGTCTTAACATGATGTCAGTAATGGTGCGCATCTCTTGTAGTAGCGCTAACTGATCGACACCATGGCGGTTATCCTCAGAATCAACCATAATCTCCACAGCTGGCTGTCTTCCTGCCGGCACACTGGGTCCCACCGCCATCACCACACTCACTGCTACACAAGCACTCACCCCTACTACCCACTTATTACACTGTGCCATATTTACTGCTTTAGGTGCTCCTGTATCCCAGTGTTCTTGCCTGGTAGCATGTTACCAGCAGTCAAAGAGTAAATGGTGGTGGTCAGGCTAGTGAAGACAAGCTTCTACAGACGACGACGCCTCCTTTTCTATGCCAGACATGACTTTCCCTTACATAAACCTTATTATCACTCTAAGACATCCTAGCAATGCGACCAAAGCGTGTAGCTGAGGGGTTTGTGGGGCGAAGTTTCAGAGAGGGACTGAGGGTGTTGTGACTTGACTCTCAGGAGAATACTTCGTCAGTCCTCTCCTTCATACTCTGCTTCACTTGCTTTCTCTTGTATCATAATTTGGAATGTAAGGCACTGGTTTTATGGTGGTATGTTCTCTCACAGGATGAGTGGCTGCGCCACTTATCCTGTGAGATTAATCTCCAACAACTTACCTTATAAAGTTTCTTTACGTTAACGCCTTAAACTGATTCGGTGTATTAAAATTCTTTGATGTGTTACATAAAGTATTCCAATCTTTTGTCAGTCAGTGGTGGGAAAGACCAGTTCAAGGGGGTAAGTCAGACAAAGCCGGTACCCCTTTGGGGAAAAGGGGGCCT